GTACCCGGTATCTGCAGCTCCAGGAGGGGCTGAGAGTAGCTCATTAAGACCTGGGCAGCCCTGGCCGGTTTGGCTCAGCGGTTGGAGCATCGGCCTGTGGACCAGAGTCCTGGGTTCAGTTCCCGCTAGGGGCACGTACCAAAAAAAAAAATCACTCCCTTCCCAGGTCTAGGTGAATCAAGGAAGGTGAGAGGTGAGATAGGCTAGATAAGATAAAAATTTCCCAACTTGAGGTATGCACACATCACAGGATGAAAGAGGATTCTGTCTTCTGTAGGCACACTTTTATCTCATTATAATCATGTATTTATTTTCATGGATATTAGAAAAACAATGGATCACATGAAACCCACAGTTTCATCAATATTTGGATGAAAATGGATTTAACAAAAACAATGTGAATGTCTCTGAAGCAAAGCATTATATAAATGAGCACAATGGGTGAACGATATACATGGTACTGAAGCTTGGCAAATACCAGACTAGGTGGTCATTAAAAACCCTTACATGTTAGCCTGGCCAGAGAGGCTTGATGGATTGAGCATCATCCCATGGGTTTGATTCCCCATCGGGGCACACGCCCTGGTTTCAGGCTCGATCCCCAGAGAGTCTATGCAGGGGACGGCAGATAGATCTCTCTCTCTCTCCTTTCCTCTCTCAAAAAAATAAAAAAGATCCTTACACTTTAAATTCTACAATTATTAGATTTAAAAATTAGAATAAATAGTATTTGCACAATAACAAGAGGGGCTAGTGGACAGTAATATGATAATCCTAGTACTTGAAGTTATCAAGTTTGTCTTCCTGTTTAAGTATTTATTTATTTTTTAAAGGAACATTCACTTTATTTTTTCTTTATTAATAATATTAGAGAGACAGAGGAAGGGAGAGGGAGAGAGAGATGGAAACATTGACGAGAGAACATCAATTAGCTGCCTCCTGCATGCCCCCTACTGGGGATTTGGCCCACAACTTGGACATGTGCCCTGACCAAGAATCGAACTGGTGACCTCTTAGTGCATGGGTCCATGCCCAACCACTGAGCCACACCGGCTGGGCTAAGTATTTATTTTAACCAGAGCAAATTTTCCAGTGTCTTCCTCAGCCATTACTCTTCTAATTAATAACAATACTGCCCTGGCCAGTTTGGCTCAGCGGTTAGAGCGTTGGCCTGTGGTCCGGAGAGACCCAGGTTCGGTTCTCGCTAAGGGCACGTACCTCGGTTGCAGTTTGTCCCGGGCCCTGGTCAGATTGTGTGGGTGGCAGCCATTCGATGTGTCCCTTTCACGTTGATGTTTCTCTCTCTTTCTCTTCCTCTCTCTCCCTCCCACTCTAGCTGAACAAAAAATAGAATGTCCTCAGGTGAGGATAAAAAAAATAATAATAAAAATAAAATAACAGCTACCATTTATTGAGCTCTCTATGTATCAGGTACTGTGCTAAGTGCTTTTCACCCATGTTTTCATGTTAAATACTCACACCCTTTGGGTTAGGTATCATTACCTCCATTTTATAAGTAAGGAAATAATACTCATAAGTAAATTGACTACCAAAGGCCCTACAGCTAGTCAATGACATAACCAGGGTCTGAATTGGAAGTCCGTAATTGTCCAAAACACCTGTTTTCCTAGTCATGATGCATTTTATCTCAGTAACTAGTTTGAGGTCACCTGCACAGATTGTCTCCCTCTCTGAACTCTTTTGAGAATCCCTCTTCTTTTTGGTACTAAGAGCAAAATATGATCTCTATCCTCTAGCTCCCTGCTACAAGAAGTGTGGTCCACAGGCCAGCCATATCAGCATGACTGGGAACTTTTTAGAATCTCAAGTCCCACCACAGCCCTACTGAATCGGAATCTTCACTTTAACAAGATTCTCAGGTGATTTGTATGCACGTTAAAATTAAGACACTTCATCTAGAAGAGAGAAGAGCAAGTCCTGGAGAAAGCAGGTGGAAAAGGTGAAGAGGGTTTTACAGGCTGAAAAACCACACCGGCAAAGTCTGTGAGGTGAGAAGGGGTCAGGTCTGTTTGAAGCTGGGGCATGGGACTGGTGTTGGGCGATGAAGCCAGGACATGAGGTCAGATGGTGTAGAGCTCTGAATGCCAGGCTTGGGAGCTGAGACTTGATCCTGAGGGAAACAGAAAACCACTCAAAAGTTTAAGCAGAGAGAGGCGATTGGATGTGCATAGAGCCCTTGGAGAAAATCTTTGTATCCATTAAAGAGAGATTGGATTTTGATAGGCAGTGAGAGAATGCTTCAGTGCCTGTGTGCAGCATAGTTCATGGACAATGAATGACTGGCCTAGGATTGGGAGATAGCTGAGTTACAGGATGTCAGCACTGGAAAGAGCTTTCGAGATCACAATTTTCATAGAAACTGAGACTCAGGGAGACCACACAGCAAGTTAATGAGTTTCCTTGTGGCCACAGTTTATGGGACGTGTGTAAGTAATGCTCAGTTCCACCCTCCTCCTCCAAATCCAGTCACCCAGACGATACTTAGATTGGCTTTCAAAAATCTTACTTTCATTATCTCATTTTACAGATGAGAAAGCCAAGGCAAAGCTGATAAATGGTGGAGCTAGGATCTAAACCAGTGCTTTTCACTGCTACATGGACCATTTAGAGTCTAGCCCTAGCCATGTGCACCCCTCCCCCATCCCACCCTTAGCTCCAGCCAGTCCAATCAAGGTTCCCAAATATCCCCTACTTTCTGTCTTGTCTCCACTGTGGTCACTACCAGAGAGCAGGCTACCAGCCTTACATGGCCTGTTCTTCCACAACAGCCAGTGAATCTTCTAAACAGAAAATCCAATGTCCCTCTTCTGATTTGAGGCTTCTGATGGCACCACATAACGTCACACAGTATGATAAATTCCTGTGCTGGCTTTCAATACCATTAACTCTCTGGCCCCATCTCCTCTGAGCCTTTACTTTTGTTGTTTCCTCCCTGGAATGCCCTTCCTCTGCCTCCATTTGACATCCCCACTAAGCTGTCTCTGTGAAGCCTTCCCCACTGCCTTGAGTTGTTTGTCCTCAGTCCTCTGTCTAGGCCTCCACGTTGGTTTCCCTTTCACCCCTAGTCCCAGGATTCAGCCCAAAAAGCCTAGGATAAAAATGAATTGAAGAAAATCTCCAGGATGACCTAGAGCACAGTCCTGAACTTCAGGGAAAAGAATGAATGCTAGAAGCAAATATTTACATAGTGTTTATTATGGGCTACACACAATTCTAACTTTTTACATGTACTAACTCATTTAATCGTCACAACCTCAAGAATTAGGTGCTGGTATGATTTTTCCTTTACAGCTAATTAAAGTGAGACAGAAAGAGGTTTAAAAACTGGCCCAAGGTCATAGAGCTGGTAAATGATGGAGATGGAAGTACACTCTAGGCTCTGGAGTCTGAATTTTTTTAAAAATTCTCACCCGAAGGTTTTTCCATTATCAGATACAGTGGGAGGGAGAGAGGGAGACAAGAACATCGGTGTGAGAGAGACACATCCATTGGTTGCCTCCTGCACAACCCCAACCAAAGCCGGGAATGAACTCCAGTTATGTGCCCTTCACTGGAGTTGAGCCGATGCTCTAACCACTGGCCAGCGCTGGAGTTTGAGTTCTTAACTTATAGGTGGAGTGGGGAATCAGGGGATCCACAGCCAGAAGAGGCAGACTAAGCTAGGATGACAGGCCAAGGAGGCCTGAGAAAAACAGTTATTTTGCCTGGAAGAAGAGGCCAAAGCAGCTAGCCCCCCCCTCCCCCTCGGGCCCACCACACCCACTAGGGGGCAGCAGAACTCTTGCCCTGGGAACTGGTTCCTATGCAGGAAGAAATCAGAACCTGAGCCCAGAAACCTGGCCCAGCCAGAGTTCTCTAGGTATAAACAGGGTTGCATTGGCTGGGGGTGGGAGTTGTGTAGGGTTCTGGGAAGTTGTGGCAGTTTGGGTCTTGAAGGGGGAAATCTAACTCATATTCTGTTTTGTTTTGTTTTGTTTTTTTATCCTCACCCGAGGACATTTTTCCATTTTTTGTTCAGGTAGAGTGGGAGGGAGAGAGAGGAACATCGATGTGAAAGGAACACATCGAGTGGCTGCCACCCGCACAACCGACCAGGGCCGGGGACAAACTGCAGCCGAGGCACGAGCCCTTAGCGGGAACCGAACCCGGGTCTCTCAGGACCGCAGGCCGACGCTCTAACCGCTGAGCCAAACTGGCCAGGGCCTAACTCATATTCTGATATTAAAACTCCTCTGTTTAAACCTTCATCACCCTCAGAATAAAATCCAAATGCGCCACCTGGCCTGCCAAACACCCTAATCTCACCCATGCTACGGCATGACTGAACAACCTGCCCTCACTTCGCCCAGTGCCTCATGCATGCCCTCTTAGCCATGGAAAGGCCATTTCTTCAGTCATCCACCTCACCCCTCACTCTCACTGGTCTCAGATAAGCCATCGCTTTACCAACTTTGAGACCTTGGACCAGTCACCAAACCATCAATCTTCCTGGGCCTGTTTCCTCATCTGTAACATGGAACAAATACTACCTATGGTATAGAACTGAGGTGCTTAAAACAGTGTCTAGAGAATAGTAAATGCTGCCAAGAGTCAGAAGTTACTGTTGCCGAACCTGGCCCCTCCCCCACCCCAAGTCTGCATTAAGTTCCCAGCTCTGGGCTTCCACCTGGTGCCTGCACTCATCACACAGGATTGTAGCTGCATGGTTACTTAGCAGTCTAACGCTGCTACACATCAAGCTCCATGGGGAACCAAGGATAGCATTTACTCTACGGCACCCAGCACAGAGCCTGGCACAGGAGGTGTGACATCTGTTTGATGGCAGCATGGGCACTGGGGCAGAAGGATGGGTTGCTAACCCTCAGATTCTAGATCTGAGATTCAGGGGAAAGTAGGGGCAGGATCTCTGGCTTCTGTCTGATGGAGGCTGGCCCCGGACTAATTTAAGGGCAACTGGGTACCGGGTGTGGGACACGTACCTCCTTGTCCATGGGGATCTTGAGCTTCACCACTTCATACTTCTCACCCTCATCCTCCTCACCCTTCACCAGCAGCACCATCTCCTCTTGCATCTCTTCCTCCTCCTCTTCCTCTGCCTGCTGTTCGCCAGGCATCTTGGTGTCCTAGGGCAGGCAGCTGTGTCAGAAACTTAGGACCCGCCCCCCACCATGGCCCAGGCCCAGGCAATGCTGTGAAGCCGCGGCTTCTCTAGCCCTACCCTGGTCTCCCGGTCTGGCCCTCTCCCCTCCCACCCCAGCTGGGCCCTAGGCACCAGCACTTCCCCGGGACCTGCTCCGAAAACGCTCCTTCCCGGCATTCATCCTGGCATTCAAGACCCTGAACAGTTCGAATCTCCACTCCCAGCGAGTCGCCACCCTCCCCGCGCTGAGTCACTTCCCGGCGCCTGCGTCCGCGGCCCGGAGCTCTGGGGCACCGGCTGGAGGCGGGATCGGGGCGGAGACCCGGGGGGTGCGCACTCACCAGCCGCTGGTTCCGCATTCGCGCAGCCCCGGGACAGGGTTCCCAGGGTTTGGGCATTCCTGAGGCTTCGGGGGCGGGGCGGGGCGGGGGCCTCGGGGGCGGCCGGTCATTGGTCAGAATACCTAACTCCTCCCCCAGGGGGAGGGATCCTGAGGACCCAGGCATCCGGCTCTTACTGCCTCAGGAGGGAAGAGCCCAGAGCCAGTGACCTCCGCTCTTCCCCAGCTCCCAGGATCCCAGGCCGCTCCACCCCGACTTTCAAGGTCCTCGCAGTCCGGCTGTGACCTACCGTCAAGGCTTGTCTCCAGTGGCCGGCTCGAAGGTCTCGGCTGCGGCCAAGCACGTCTGCTCCGCCCAAAATAGGCCACGTGCGCTCCAGCCCTTGGCCTGGGCCTCTCGCTGGCGCCCCGCCTGGAGGGCGGACCCTGTTGCCTCCTCACCTCTTCCTTTTTCTCTTTTTCCTCCTTTGCCATCTTTCCTCCTTATTGTGTCTTTTTTTTTTTTGAAGATATTATTTCCATTGATTTTTAGAGAGAGTGGGAGAGAAACATGGATGTGAGAGAGACTGATTGGTTGCCTCCGCAGGACCCAGACTTAGTCTGGGGATGGAACCTGCAAACCAGGTATCCACTGGAATCAAACCCTGGACCCTTCTGTCCTCTGCCCACCCTCTAACCGCCGTGCTGAGCCAAACCGACCTGGCTGTCTTTTTTCCTTCTTTACCGGCGTTACTTTTCATGTTTCTTGCTTTCTGGGATATGTTGTTCTTTGAATACATACTTACCAAATCAACAGCCATAAAAGCTACTGCTGCCCTGCCCTGTGTGGTGTGCCTACTATGCTCCATTATGTTTAGCATTTCACACATCTTATCTCCCTCTTTTTAAAAATATGTCTTTATTGATTTTTTTTAGAGAGAGAAACATGATGTGAGAAACATAGATGGGCTGCGCCCTGCACGCCCCCTACTGGGGATCGAGCCTGTAACCCAGGCATGTGTCCTGACGCTCTACCTCTCCCCCACCACCTTGCCTTGTGTTGTCTGTATCTGTGAGTTTGTTGATCTCTTTTGCCCTGCACAAAGATGGGTCCATTTTACAGGTGGGCTCATTGAAGTTCTGGGAAGTAAACTGATTTGCCGAAATTATACTGTAAGGGTTTTCATATCATCCCCCACAACCTAATAAGCCTAGATCGAAAATTGGTACCTTACAGGCCCAATCTAGTCCACAGAAGTATCTTGTTTGTCCTTAAGTGTATTTTTACATTTTAAAACTAGCTTTAAAAAGAGCGGGGGGAGGTCTTATATATTTTTATTTACATTTAAAAATTGGGATACTTCAGTCCCGCTGGTGGCTCAGTGGTAGAGCATCGACCCATGCACCAAGAGGTCGCTGGTTTAATTACCGGTCAGGACACATGCCCAGGTTGTGGGCCAAATCCCCAGTGGGGGACATGCAGGAGGCGTCCAATCGATGTTATGTCTCATTGATGTTTCTATCTCTCTCTCCCTCTCCCTTCCTCTCCCTCTAAAATCAATAAAGAACAAAATATTAAAGTCCTGGCCGGTTTGGCTCAGTAGTTAGAGCATCGGCCCACAGACCAATGAGTCATGGGTTTGATTACAATCAAAGGAACATACCTGGGTTTCAATTCATCCCCAGTCCTGGTCGGGGTTGTTGGGGAGGCAACCATTCGAAGTGTCTCTCTCACATCGATGTTTCTCTCTCCCTCCTTCCCATTCTATCTGAAGATAAGTAGAAAAATATCCTCAGGTGAGGATTAAAAAAAATTAAAAAGAAATTGCAGGCATGCAATAAATATTTAATGAATGAATGTATTTATTAAAAAGAAAAGAAGGACAAGGACCCCATCCATTTCTTCTACAAGCACATACAAGTATCTGCCTATAATTGGACCTAGTTCCTGTTCTTGAGAATCTCATAGGCTAGTAAAGAAGATTGTGATAAAAAAAAAAATACATAGGGGTATATATGAATAAAGTATATATCCATATCTATGTATCTATATCTATATATCTATATCCACCCACTTACATGAAAAGGAAACAATAGGGCCCTGGCCGGTTTGGCTCAGCAGTTAGAGCGCCGGCCTGCGGTCTGGAGAGACCCGGGTTCGGTTTCCGCTAAGGGCATGTACCTCGGTTGCGGTTTGTCCCCGGCTCTGGTCAGTCGTGCGGGTGGCAGCCACTCGATGTGTTCCTTTCACATCGATGATTCTCTCTCTCTCTGTTCCTCTCTCTCCCTCCCACTCTACCTGAACAAAAAATGGAAAAATGTCCTCGGGTGAGGATAAAAAAAAAAAGAAAGAAAGAAAAAAGAAAAGGAAACAATAGGTTTCTGGCAGAACAGTAGGGTAAGTGGATAAGTGTTGAAGGGAGTAGATGTGGGTACAGGCGTCACTGAGGAGACAAATATGAAGGATCTTCTAAGATGAGTGGGAGTTTGCCAGGCTGACAAAGAGGTAGCAGTTTGTGAGATTGTAAAGCCTTGTGCGGGGCACATCATGGTGCAAGGACATTTCAACAAAGTATTTAGTTAGGCCTACTGTGTGCCCGGCCCCTGTTAAGACTGGGAAGTAGAAAGGTGAATTTAGAAAAGTCTTTATCATACTCATTGCTCTGCATTTCATTGTTTGTCTGCAGCCTCGCTAGAACTTCAGTTCTTGAATCCCCAAGGACTTGGTGCTTACTCTTCACTCTGCCTTCCATCCTGTCCCCCACTTCCTCCTGTCTTAGCTTATTTCAAGTTACTCTTTACCACTTCTTTGGAGAGGCCTTTATCACACAGGATTCTCTGCTGTATGCGTGCTTCCTGCTTAGTCCTTACCACGCTTGAAATCACTGGTTCAATGTCAATATTATGCATAGAAACTGAAGGCAGAAACTGTCTTCTTCATCTTTCTATCCCCAGTAACCGGCACACACTAGGTGGTGCTGTTGAGTGACTAATTATCTGCGAGAAGCTCCAGGTGACTGGAGGGCTCAGATGAAGGGAATTCTAACCCAGGATAGAGGCTCAGGGAAGGCTTCTGGAAGGAAGTAATGCTGTAGGTGTTTGGACTGTGGACGTTAATGGAGTAGTGTGTGTGTGTGGGGGGGGGGAATGGGGGACAGAGCATTTAATGAAAGGAAACAACATTAACAGGCACAGGGCTTAAACCACACAAGTGGAAGGCCTTGAACCTCAACTAAGGAGTTTTGTTTTACAGAAGATGTGAAAATATGGCAGAGTTTTTAATTGGGGAGTGACATGATCATATCATGTAAGAAATTCTCAAACCTATAGAGAATTTTTTGTTTATTTGAACCAAACCGATGACAATTGCTAGGAAGCAAAATCTTAACAAATTGAGAAAATGCTCCAGAGAATGGCAGTGTTGCACCTTATTTTATACATCAGAATCAAGGGGAAGATATAAGGGGTTCCATGAAATTCATTGGTGACAGAGTAGGGAGGCAAGAGGAAGCAAAAATGGGAAATCTCTAGGATTGAATAAAAAGTGACAGGAATAGCCAGGCTGGTGTGACTCGGTGGGTTGAGCATCATCCCATGGACTGAGAGGTTCTGGTTCCATTCCTGGTCAGGGCACATGCTCCGGTTGTAGGCTCAATCCTGGGTGGGGGCCAAGCAGGAGGTTTTTATCTCTCTCTCTCTGAAAAAATCAATGAGAACATTCTTTTTTCTTTTAGTGAAAGGTAGACACATACTTCTTTTACTTAGGTGGGTATTAGGATAGTTAACAGTCAACAATTAGCATGACCATAATAACAATGAGGAGATTTGTGGTCTCTGTTCTGGCCTGGTGGTTGTACTTTGAGGGGTCCGGAACAACGAAAATTTCTTTTATATTTCAAAGGCATGTTATCAGGTATGTTATTCCAGATACAAAAAAAGACAACAGACAGGCTCAGTTAAGGAAAGACTGACCTTTGTTAGGGAAAAATACCAACCTATTACATGACTACCTGCTGTGAACTGCTTTTAGTTAGAAAGTGTTTTCTTTTTAATTATTGATTTAAGACAAAGAGAGAAACATTGATTTGTTATTCTGCTTATATATGCATTTATTGGTTGATTCATGTATGTGCCTTGACCTGGATCGAACCTACAACCTTGGTGCATCAGGACGATGCTCTAACCAACTGAGCTAGGTGGCCAGAACCAGTTAGAAAGTTTTCATTTCAGACTATCCTTTGTGGTTAGTTTAGGTCTCTGAGTTTGTAAGGCCACCACACAGACCTCCCCTGAGCTTGTCAGGTTTAGTATATGGCCTCTTTTTTGTTCACACTCCCCTCTTTTGGTTATAAATTAATTGGAAGGATGCATAGATGACCAACATTTGGTTGGATAAAGTGGTACCACAGTGCCAGGAAGACTCATTCCTAGGAAGTCTCAGAGTCCGTGTTTGTCTTGCTGAATGATGGACCATTGGGGATGGGGCAAGACTGTAACCTTGGATGGAAGTCAGGACCAAATTTTTCCCAAAAGTGAAAACCAGATTAATGGGAGGTGGTCAGGTACTATGGGCCCTTAGGAAGAAAAATACTCTGGATCATTTCTAACCTATAAGCTATTATTATCTAGGGTTTGCTATCTGTCTTACTCCTCTGTATTTTGCATCTAATGAAACATTTACGTGAGCCATAGTTTGAGGGCACTCCATACAACTCTTCCATGTTTATAATCTGACCAAGAGATTCCCATCTACTTTGGCTTATCTCATTCCCATTGGGAGCACTGAAGTGCTGTTCATTATTATTCTGATTCCTGCTAGTTGTGCAATTCGATGCTTGTAACCTTAAGGTTTATTAGGCCAAGGCTGTAAAAGAACACAGTGCTGTAAATTACAATTAACATCTAAAAACTCCAGAGGACAGAAGGACAGTAAGAGTTTCATAAGTAAATTTCCTGTGCTTCA